ACGTGTTCTCCACTGCTGGAGAGACCTTCTGTGTTTATCTGAATTATGAATAATTACACTAAATAATATATAGTCCTATTGTCCTGGACAAACACAGGTCACAGCAAAATTTAAATATAGCTGGAGCTGGGGATGCTCTCTCCAGAAACAGACCCTGTAATTTCTGCTAAAATATAGCACAATTTGCTTTTCCAGGATAATCAAGAGCTCTCACTCAGATATTTCAGCTTGTTTAGCATTGAAGCAAGGCAGCTTTAAAAGCCATATTATCTCAATTTAATATGTTGGATGGGCACAGCACGGCCTTGGCCTGTGCCACTGATTCTTCTCTTTTCCCCTCACTTCTGCAGCCTTTGATGAGCTGAGCTGCAGGCAGATTAAATCAGCATTAAGATCCCCATAGCACTCAGTTGTGCTAAAGCAAAATGCCACAGATTTACTCATTAAACACAGATAACTGAGCAGGATCTGACCTGCACTGACAGGACAGGCTCTGCTCCTTCTCCTGCGTGACACCGACCGTGTTCCCTTTCCCACGGAGCTGAACTCCCCACACTCCCCTTGGGAGCAGCTGAGTGACATTCCAGTATTTATTCAAATTAGCTGTTATTAATTAAATAACACCTTTCAGCTTCCTTGGCAGGTTTCCCCCTGCAGTTGCAGCGGGAAGCTGGCGTGTGTCAGGATGTCAGGCAGATGTGAGAACCTCAGGGTTATATTTTTGTGAACATGCACCTCATTAAAAAAAGTTATCACTGTAGAAAATAATAAATTTATGGTTATGTCTCTGTACTGTCTCCTCTTTTGTGCCTTCCAGCTCCTCTATACAAAACCCAGCTGCCAAGTGCTGTTAAACAAAGACACCTCTTGTTCAGCAGAGCTTTGCTTGGCCTCAGTTTTGGCTCTGAGGTGGATCCTGCTGGAGTCCGAGGGGCTTCAGCTCGTGCCTAAACACTTTGCTAATTAAAGCTGAATCTCAGCTCTGGGGATTTATCTACATGCAGATTTAGAGGTGCTTGATGGTGGCTGGGACTAATTGGGGTAAGAGGGACTTTGATCCAAAACGAGCCATTTAACCAGGGCTGGTGCAGCCCTTGGGGCACACGGAGCTGCAGCAGCCCCAGCTCGAGCAGCTGCAAACCTGGACAAGCACAAACCTCGGGACACCTCCTCTGCACCCCTGGCACACCTGCTCTGCCTTTAGGAAAATGAATGCACACTGTCCCAACATTAAAGATTAAAAGCAGCTGCATCTCGTCACAGCCAGAAGATTTGTCCAGAGCCAGTGACAAAAAAAAATGGTTTTTTGGGGAATAACCTTGACTGCTGGTGCTGCATATATTCAAGGCATATTAATCACAATTTCTGTGTGAATACTTCTCCTTTCACTGGAAATGGAGAGGGGGATGAAGCTTGGGGAGTTCTGGGGTGGTTTGATTATAAATGCTGCACAGAGCCCACTGAATATCACAGTACAAACTGCTCAAGACATGAAAATATCCAGTTAGAGTCAAGGTATTCCTTGACTCCAGCCCTTGGGATAAAATCTGGCAACACAGGGGAGTGGGGCTAATTTTTTGGTTGAAATAGTGCTTTCCTGTATTACAAATTGTAATAATAATTAAAAGGAGTCTTTCTTCTACAAAGACTGAATTGACCAGAGATTCAAAGATGAAGTGCTGTGAAAAGAAGAAGGGTTACATTTGGGGAATGGCTTGCAATTAAAGACACACGAGGTAATTGCTGCAGCCACCTCCTGCCCTTTACAGCCCCTGCCCACGGAGGCCACCATAACCCAAAATCTGAGGTATAAAAACCCTACAAGAAGATAAAGCAAGCAGGCAGCTCTTCTCTCTCTACATCCCCCTGTATCCATGGGAACAGGCTGGGATTTGACATCTACACAGCAGCTATAGACAGAAAGCCTGCAGTGCACAGAGGAAAGGTCAGTGGAGCATGCCAGCCATGGTGGCACCCACGGAGCAGCTGGGGCACTGGGGACACCCTGGGGACACCCTGGGGACACCCTGGGGACACCCTGCTCCCTGCTCAGCAGCCACAGCTTTCCTGTGTGCTGAGGTGCAGCCAGTTTGCAGAAAGAAGAGTTAAAGAGCTGATGTGCTTCTTGGGCACAAAGAGCTGGTGGAGCAAAGGGTGGGGTGAAGGAAAACCCACCAATACCCCAAAACTGGATGAGGAAAACAAGAAGGAAAAAAGCTGCTTTTTCTAGATAGGTTTGACTGTTAATTTGGGGGAAAAAAAGTAAATAAATAAATCCCATGAGGAAGGAAGAAGAAGAAGAAAATAAATATCTCTCAGCTACTTCTCATTAGTGGAGGAGTATTTACTCAGGTGAATATTCTGCCTGCTCACACAGCATCCCCAGCACAGGCACACCAGCTCTGCACAGCTAACAAGCTATCAGCAGGGAAGAATAAGACTATTTAATTTCTTAGCACACCTTGAATAGCCCATGGGGCCAACTCACATTTGGGAAAATGAATACACAGCCTTGATGAATAGTATTAATAATGCAACACAAGGACCTGAGAGCAGAGCACTGTGAGCTGGAAACCCCCACGCTGTGTACACCAAGTCAGTTCTGAGCCTGCCACAGTGGTGTGTTTTAGGGAAAGCACCATAAAAAATACCTTTGGGTCTTGTCTGCTTGAAGCTGATAAAGGGCACAGATCTTTAACCCTGTGTCCAGGTGATGCAACAGCAAAGTTCATCTGGGCCATCCCCAGGGGAAGGATTTGCTCTCCCCCTGCCTACCTAACCAACAGCTCCATGGCCCCTTCTGGGCAAGGGCAGCACCAGAACATCCACCCAAGCCTCATCTCACCACAGCAGCTTCAGCAGGGCTCTTGGGCTGCCTCCTTGCCTGGAGTGGGGGGTTACTGCCTCACAGGATCTCCTGCCTCACCTGAACCTTCCCAGTGCCCGCTGCCACCACAGGGGGAGCAGCACTGGGGGCAGGTCATCTGCACCTATTGGTGAATTTATGTATTTAATCATGGCTTTGTCACTGTGCAAGAGAGGGCTCTGGAGCCTCAAGATGCTCCAGCAGCAGCTGGAGGAGAACAAGGCCCAGCACAGCCTTGTTATTCTTGGCTATTTCATTACTGCTTGTGATGGGTCTTTAATGAACCTCTTGCATCCACACCTCATGCTTCAGTGAGGGCTGTCAGGACACTACTAATGGGAAAATGGTCCCACCAGGGCCCTATCACACCTGGGCCATGGGAGTGTTGTGGTGTAAAGGGGGAATGAAGACAGTCCTGGGGATGCTGGCAGAGAAGCTTTCATGTCCCAGAGGTACAGGCCACAAAATGCCTTTTTGATCTTACAGAAAGGGGATTTGATTAAAAAACCCCACACACAGAGGGGCAGGGTGGCTCCTGGGAGTTTCCTGAGATCTCAGAGCATCCACCTCCCTAGCCAACCTCCATCCATCATCCATCCATCATCCATCCATCCATCCATCCATCCATCCCCAGGACCCCCAGGGCTGTGGGATGCAGGTGTGTCCCTGTGTCTCTGCTGATGGCAGGGACAGAAAACCTTCACCTGCTGCAGGCCTGAGCAACACCTGGAGCAGGGAATGCACCAGGATCAGGCTTTATTTAACCCTTAATCCCAGTAACTCACTCTGCTGCTGTAGTTCAAGGAGCCACAGCCTCGTGCACAAAGACTCTGACACCAATTAGTCATTCATGCAAAACAGGATTTTTGTGCTTCTCAGCACAAACCATTTTCTGTGCAGTGTCAGACAGCAGTCACCTTCCCACGGGCCCGGGGGAGGCTTGGCTCATCCCCTCGGGTGAATTTAAGGACTCATGGGGTAAAACCTCTCATTTCATTGGTAGCTCACCCTCAAACTCCACTTTTTATTTATTGCAGTCAAAGCAACAGACACAGGACACAGCGAGAGGGCATCACTGAAGTGGGTGGGAGAGAGACTGCAGGAGGGGACTGAGTGCTGCTCCTCAGGAAGGGAGGATGTGGGGTAAAACCATGCCAGGTAATTAGAAGAGGTGATAAAATCATTATAGGTGTCCTAAGAGGGTGCTGCATGTACTTACTAAGCACTTCTTGCTTGGAGAACTGCAGCTGCAGGGTGGTTCTTGGGGCAGTGAGCCTGGCAGGGTGGCTGGGCTCACCCCAGCCCCTCACCCAGGCCAGGGCTCTGAGGGTCCAAGGCTCTGGGAAAGTTTCTCCAGAGCCCACAAAGGTGTGATAACTGCACTGGGAGACCCACAGCCACAGCTGCTGCCACAGCAGGCACTTTGGGAGGGACAGAACCGCACCCAGAGGCACAACCACTGCTGCCTGTGCTTTGCAAACACCACATTAGCCTACCTAAAAGATGCCTTTACTGACCCAACAGCAAATATTTATTTGAACAGATTTTTTCTGGCAGTCCTGCACTTGTGCTCACTGGGTGAATATGTGAACTCCCAGGCTCACTAATGCAGCCACATGATGAGAATGTCTCCGATGAATTAAAATAATTACTTTTCTAATTTGCCCCTAGACTCTGCTAAACCTTCTGGGGCCTTGAGGAAGGCATGAAGTTCTTCTAATTTCTTCTACTTGTGTAGGCAAACATTTAAATTTATGAAATGAATAATTCTGTATTTAATCAGTGCAAAGGAAAATTCCACTTGGGGACAGGGACATCTCATGGTGCTGCACAGGATGACTCCCCAGTGTGAGGAACGTGGCCATGACAGAGCCCTCGTGCCTCTGGCCATCAGCAGTTTTGGTGACACTGAACATCTCCCTCCCAAGGACTGAGAATATCAGCATCCATCAAGAGTCACATGCAAAGGCAACAGACTTTGAGCCACCAAAAATCACCACCATCAAGCCCAGCAAAGCAGATCAGCCCTGGGAAACTCAAAATGATTGCTTGTGAACTCCACTGTTTTTTTTGGAGCCAAATCCGCACTGAATATGGGGATCCTGGTGGAAAACTGGTGGTTTGTCAGGCTGGGGGCAGGTGAGGACCAGCATATTTGTTCCTGGAGGGTGGGGCTGTGTTGTGCTTTGGTGCCTGAACCTTCCCAGCAGCCAACCTGTCACCTAGCACTTAAAAACTGGGAGAGCACAAAAATGCTTGAGGGTCATACAGAAACTGAGGGTGAACAGAACTGTGTCTACAGAAATATTGCCCTGATTTTAAAACTTTGCAAATTAGGAATCTACCCAGATATACACTAAATCTGCATTACTTGCTTCTCTGGAGGATGTGGAGAGGAGTAATCCTGTTCCAGAGCTGGCTGGATACACTCCTGCAGTGATGTCCTGTGGAATGGGTGTTGTAATGGATGCAAACAGTGGTGCTGCACCATGCCTTGGCCCCTGCTTTGGAGGAGTTTGTAAATAATAAATATTTAATAGCAAATAAAAAATAATAATATTAAATAATAACAACCAAGAGGTCCAACATTCATTACGCAGTGTGCTACAGATGAGGTTAAAACTGCATATATTCTATTTCTTTTAATTAACAGTAAGACAAAACAAGCTCAAATATACCAAGAGTCCCCAGAAGGTTTTGTTCTGCAGAACAGAAATTTTCAGAAAGGTTGAAAATAACAAGAACAGAAATAAAGTTTGGGCAAAGCTCTTTCTCCTGCAAGGTGACAAGCTGGGGCTCGCATGAGGGATCACAGCCTTTTCCTTCCCTGCCCTTTGTTTTCCATCAATGGCAGTGGTGTTTTCCCCTGGCAGCTGGCTAAGGCCAAAATGCCAAAGCATCAAATGAAATTTTCAAACTTAAAATCTCAAAATAAATACAAACACACATAAAAAAAAACAACAAAAAACCCAAAAACAAGCAAACAAAAACAAAAACAAAAACAAAAAAACCCCCAAAAAACCCACCAAACCCAAAAAAACGAACCAGAGAAATTACCATTTTCTTGCCAAAATGTAAAATAAGCCAACTATTTTGCTGCAGTGGACTGGTACCAATAATCTAGGCTACATCACTTTACACCAGTTTGGGGTCTTGCCTTTCACTGAAATAACTTCTTTCCACTAAATCCTGCACCTGATGTTTCCCATGGGAAATATTTAGGTTGTTTTCTACTCAATGCTGCACTGAAATTCTCCCATTTATGCTTCAGACCTCCTGTCTATAGGATGGCAGAGGAAATTTGGGTGCTGGAGCCATCCCTCCAGCCCAGCACCCCAGAGTGCCTCCAGTCCAACATGAGATATTTAAGCAACAGTTTCCAAGTGGCCATAGAGGAACAACGAGCTGCTGGTGTCCAAGCCTGCTGAGGTCTCATGGAAAGATGGCTATTTCCCATTCCAGCCTGGCTGGAAGTGATATCCAGCAGTGAGAGATACCAACCAGTAAGTGCTCAGTCAAGACAAAATTTATATTTTTCTAATGCTGGTTGTTTTTTGGAAAGTTACACAAATCTTTTATGCCTGCTGGTGTTCAGGCCAGTAAATATAGAACTCAATGATACAGTCGAATGCACAAACTTTATCAGCCTACCTACCTACACCAAAAAAATACACCTTTTTTTTTTTCCTTAGTTCTACTCTATTTTCTTTTTCCTGCTCTTGAGTCCAGCCCTGGATTTATCCCCCAGGCAGAACTGCTGTTTGCTCAGCGGGATGAGCTGAGAGAGGAGAGATCCTTAGTTATGCAGGGAGGAGTAAAACAACCCAAAAAACAAAGAAAGGGAAACATCCCAATTCTCTAGGTTACACTATTGGTTATATAACCAATCTCTCTGGTTATATTTCCGCTCCTATAAATAGAGAATTGGCCAGAAAGAGCGGCCTAAAAAAACGACAGACGGAGTCGGGGCGCGGCGCGGGGCGCGGGGCTCAGCACGGGGACGAGGACATCTGGTCGTAGTCGGGGCACTTGAGCAGGGCTGGGTAGTTACTGTTCATCTGCAGGGACGCCTCGCTGGAGATGTCCGAGGGGCTGCGGCCCCGCGCCCACGCGTCCGGGTGCAGGAACTGCCCCGAGTAGTCGGAGCAGTTGCTCAGGCGGGGCCGGTAGAAGCCGGGGTGGGGTCTGTAGAGGTCCTCGGCCGTGTAGCGCTTCATGAACAGGTACACGGACATCACCCCGGCACTCTGCGGGACAGAGACACGGCCTGAGGCTCTCCCTGCCCAGGGCTGCACCAGCACTCACACAGGGCAACGCAGAAATTGCCTTTTTGTGTTGTGCTGATGCTCAAAAGAACTCGAGCGCCATCACTTCCCTGCCCCGTGCCGTGGGTCTGTGCAATGAATAATGCAGCACAACCACATCTCTGCTTTTCATGCCTGGCATCAAACTGTGATCAAATGCCCCATCACAGTTCTTCATGTGTGGTTTGTCCCCTCACATGTCCCCTTCACACTACATCACCCCCTACCCTCCCAGCCCTCCCTTAAGCCCCGTCTGAGCCCCCTTTTTGCCAACAGCCTCAGTCTGCCCACGCCAGGAATGGGATACACTTGTTACAGGGTGTGGGTACCTCTGTGAGAAGGAACGAGATGGCAGAGAAGGCAAAGGACCACCCATATTTGTAATTGAAGAACGACTCCGAGTCCTTGGTCCTGTTGAGCATCTCATCATTAATGCTGGATATGTAGAGGACCAGCCCCACCACCAGTGACAGACCTGGGGAAGGACAGTGGGAAATGCTTCAGGGATGAAGCTGCTGAAGAAGCACCTTCCTGAAGGCCTGGCTTTGTGAGAAAGTGAAAAAACTTGGGAGTGTGCTTGTAATAACTGGGGAAAGGAACTGCCCTCCTGCTGCTCCAACCCAGGGCACTCCTCTCATTCCAGTCAAACATTCCCTGCTCAGGGAAATCTGTGAGCACTGGGAGGATAGATCTGCTCCAGTAGGAGCTGCTTCAAAGCTCAGCTGTCACAGCTATTTGTTTAGCACTTGCACAACACCATGAATAAAACATTCACTTTTCTCATGCAGACACAGCCCAACTGAGCAGTTTGAAGTTTCAGATCTCTCCGGCAACTGCTGTTTCACAAGAAGCATCCTCTCTCCCAGCACCTGCTCCTGCCTTGGTGGGGGAGCCTTTCCCACATTTCCACAAAGCTCTCCATCCATCCATCCATCCATCCATCCATCCATCCATCCATCCATCCATCCATCCATCCATCCATCCATCCCACAAGGTCTGATCAGGCTGTGGGACTGAGCTGGGAGTGATGAGTCCGACAAGGAGCCAGCAGGGCAGGTTAGGAGAACACCAGCAGCTACCAAAGCAAACGTGCTCCATGCTCAAGGGCTGTCAGGAGAAAACCTGGCTTGCAGAACTCACCTGAGAGGATGAAGAATATCCCCGAGACAAAGGCGAGGATGGTCCTGTGGGGACGGATGTGGCCGATGTTGCTCAGGATGAAGCCGATGAACATGAAGAAGAGGCTGACCAGAGGGAAGGGGGTGGCAGAGCGGATCATCTCTGGTGAGAGAGGGGCAGAGGGAAGTGAGAACAGGTTAACATTCCCTAAATAGTGTGAGTTATGTGCTTGGCTGAGTGAGAGGGACCCAACCCTTCTGCTCAGATCATGTTTCTGAGTTTCTCTCCTTGCTAATGATCTGAGTAAAACACAGAATTATGGAATCACAGAATGGTTTGGGTTGGAAGGGACCTTACATTCCAGCTCTCTGCCATGGGCAGGGACACCTTCCACTATCCCAGGTTGCTCCAGGCTCCATCCAACCTGGCCTTGAACATTTTCAGGGATGGAGCATCCACAGACTTTCTGGGCAATCTGTGCCACTGTCCCATTTCCATGGTGGTGACTCTGCTGATGTTTGCATTTCTGAGGGTTCCTGTGTGAAATGTTGCATAGGAAACCACAAGAACCTGCATTTTTCTCTAGCTTCACTGCATGTTTTCAAAGCACTTCTATTTATTAATTCAGAAATGACTGCAGAATTCATCGTGAGAGCTGTGACACTCCATCCTTAATTCATCCTCCTATATCATGTGTAAAATTGCTAGGGAATAAATACAGCTGCAAATTATGGAGAGGAGACTAAAAAGCCAAACACTTTGATAAACATTAGTGCTGAATAGCCAGTGACAGGAAATTGTACAGCTTAAAACCTCTGTGGCCATCCTGCCATTAGAAAGGGATGCCCCCAAAAGCTTACAAGCACTCTGGGAAATTCCCATGGTAAAAAATGTAGTTGCATCATTGTGTGGCATCACTGTCAAGGAACTCAGAGCTTCTTTGGCAAGGGCACAAAGGGGATTTCTTGGGGAGGGTCCCTAGTGCTTGGGACTCCTGATTTGCAGGATGTAAAGGGTGGAATCCCACCAAACCACTTACTCAGGACGTTGATTGTGGATTCAGAGGTCAGCTGGATGTTCATGGGCATGACGTACTCGATGGTGAAGCACCGGCCACGCTCCTCACCTGCAGCAGACACGAACAAAAACGTGAACTCTGGTTTAAAGTCATCCCAGGGGCCATATCAGAGTTCCTCATTTCTTCCCTGACTTTTCCAAAGCAGCTGAAACTTTGTGACATTTCAGATTGGTCACTTTGAGATTCCCACTCCCTTGGGTTCTATTCAACTCTGTCCCTGCAGCCAAGCTGCTTCATCAAACTTGGCACAGGCAGAGGGAATGGTCCAGCTGACCTGAATCTGAATTTTGCAGGGATGAAATGGAAAGTTTTTAGCTGCTGCCCAAGGCGTCGTGGCTGCAGCTCTGGAACAGGGCAGGTGGTCTGGCAGGGCAGCAGCAAACTCACCTAAGCCTGTGTGCAAAGGCAGATTTATCCTTTGGGCTGTTAAAGTCAGGCATGAAGAGCTGACATTGCTTGCCAAAAGTTGTGCCTAAGTTTGGAAGCAGGGATGGGCGAAGCTTCTAAAAATCCCATTTTTCTCGGCCCTTTCCTGCTGGGTGGCACTGACACACAACAAACCGAGGCGAAGTTTTTGGCCAGGAGACCCTACCTGCCAGAAAGCAGACCCTCCAGAGCCCCGAGTGCAGCGAGAGCTTGATCTCGGCCGTCTGGTTCTGGGGCTGGACGATGCCCTCCTCCAGGTAGAGCCAGTAGTCGGTGCTGACGGAGATGCCCAGCAGGCCGAGGCCGCAGACGGCGAACACGCTGCTGAGCAGGGTCAGCGCCTTCCTGCTGCACGCGCTCATCGCCAACCGCATCGGCCGCACCGCGCGCGACGGGAGGAGCGCCCAGCACGGAGCCCCAAGCTCTGCCCTGAACCGAGAGGAGACGTTAGAACCATCACTGACAGAGCCAGAGCTTGCACAAATCCCAGCGCACTGCTGCCCCGCGCCGGGCCGGGATGGGGAATGGCTCAGCACAGATGGGATGGGGAATGGCTCAGCACAGACCGGGAATGCCTCAGTGTCCTGGATTGCCACACAAATTGAACTCTATTTGCCATCTGTGTGGCAGTTGTCTTCTGTTCATTGGGCAGTTTTCCTTATCTCTTCCACACCCACTCCTCCCTCCGGGGAGACGTGCTGATACCAGGCCATGGAATGTCCCTGCATGGCTGATGAGAACCGCAGCATCCACTGGGAGATGTGAGCCCAGAGGGAGGAGCCAAGCATTCCTACCTGGATATAATCTGAGATTTCAAACATTCCTACTCAGATATAATCTTGAGTTTCTGGAACACCAGCACGACTTCTCCACTGGATTTCCCAGAGGAACAGCAGCTGCCTCTTCCCCTGGATCTTCAGAGGAAGGCTACACCCTGCTACAGGATCCCTGCTCCCGCAGAACCACCCCTGACACTCCAGGAGGGCTGCAGCCACAATTCCAATTGGATTGTTACTAACACCCTGACCAACAGGGTGTAAGGTTGTGTCTGACCCTGTCAGTGTTGTTTTGGTTTACTGCATTGTTTATTTTATCCTTTTGTTTTCTTCCCTAATAAAGAACTGTTATTCCTGCTCCCGTATTTTTGCCTGAGAACCCCTTAATTTAAAATTTATAGCAATTTGGAGGGAGGGGGTTTACATTTTCCATTCCAGGGGAGGCTCCTGCCTTCCTCAGCAGACACCTATCTTTCCAAACACACAGCGCGGACGGGAATGGGAGCAGCTCCTTCCTTGGCTCCTGTTGGGTTTGCTGCAGGTGAATTCCTGCTGCTCCAGCCAGAGCTGGCACTGATCCCCCAAGGATGGAGGTGAACTGCAGCATCTTATCTTATCTCCCTCCAAAGCCTTATCAAGTGCTGCCAGTCCCTGGCACAGGAGCTGCTGAGGATCAAGGATTAACAAAGCTGCTCTTAACTGCTGGACCAAGCCCAGCCCCGAGCAGCTCCCATCACCATCCCTCTCCCCTCCAACACTGCCGCTTTTCCAGTTCCATGGTAGAGCCACCAGTCAGGAGATCATGCTAATTTTGCAAAGACCATGCTACATTTATGACATCATCAAACAAATTGAAGCAGAGTGGCAGGGAAATGGGGACTGAGAGCTGCAGCCAGGCCCTGGGCAAACATTAAAGGAAAAGCTTCCCTCATGCCCATGTCACTTATATATAGCATATTTTTAAATTATTATTATTTTATTGCCCATTTGCTACTTTGGGCAAATTAGCAGTTCCTATGGTGCCCTGCAGACTGACAAAATAGCACCGAAAATCAGATTTCTTGGTGCAGTGGAGAAAAAGTGAAATTGGTATGGGGGGAAGGGAGGTGGGGGCGAACCCACAGCAACAAAAGATTAGAGGAATAAGAGCAAGAAGGAAAAAGATACGTGTGAGAGATGGTCTTGTGTGGAGTAGCAGGGAGGCAGATAGTGCCACTGACTGCTGCTGTAAAGGCAGAATGAATCACAGATAAGTGCCATGTCATGTATATTTTCCAAGGCACATTTTGCTGCTATTCAGCACTGCAAGCAATAGGGAAAAATATCTCAATCCAGCTAGACGACAAAAGCTACTGACTTTCTAAGCAGGCTGCATCTTCCTTGGACTCCCTTTAGAGCTGCACTAGTTTTGTTTCACACCCCCAGGAGCAGCTCCATCACTCCTGTGCTCCTTTGGTGAGCAGACTCCCTGGGAGAGAAGTCCTGTTGCTATTATCACTGCAGTAAAGGTGGTGGGTTTAGTGATTAAATCAGGAGACACAAATCCTGCCTGGACCAGGAGATGACAACGGTCTGTTCCAACATGACCAAACAGACTGGAGGAGGGTGTTTTTTTCTAGTGCCTCAAATGCAAATATATTAATTCTCCCTTGCTTACACAGACTCTCAGAGACGCCAAAATTCCTCACAGCTTGTACTTTTACACCTGAAAGCCTCCAAGGATAATGTTGTGCCATAATTCCCTCATGGTGAAAGCGAGTTGCTGATGCTGAGAGAGGTTTCTTGCTCCTCCAGCACTCTGGGGAGCTCTGAGCTCTTGCAGTGCTCATCCCCAGCACTTCTGTCCCACAAATCCACAGCACCAGCTCCCCACACCCATCCTGGGTTGTGTTTGCAGCAGTTTCATTTAGATTAACATGAAGGAAACTTGTAGTTACTGTGGAGTCCAAAGAGCATTTACTGAACAGATGCAACACCCAAGGTCTGTGTGCCCCTCCAGCTCACTGCTCTGGGCAGCAATAAGAGAGAAAAGCAGGGAATGCTGCTGGAAGAGTATCAAATTCTTGAGTGAAAGGCAGAGAAGGAGAGAGAATCTTTAATTATCAGATCTGACCTCGAGTCCAAAGCAGGCAAGTACATCTTGGTAGGAAGCAGATGTACTCGCACCCTCAAGCGCTGCAACAGCTTTGACAATTCCCTTCCATATGAAATTAAGGATTTGGCTCTTCCTATGTTCACACTGTGCCTTTTCCCAGAAGGTTCCAACCTACAGCAAGGGATTGCTGTCTCCAGACAGCCCAAGAAAGTGCTCCAGTTCACACTCCTGCAAGCTTTCCCTCCACCTTTGGCTTTGCTAACCAGCCTCATTTCCAATGTTATTTAATGCTTCCATCGGCTCAAGAAAAGTAGGATGTGTTCCCAGGAGAAATACCTCCCTGCTAGGGGAGCAAGGAGCCAAGTGCTGAGAGGATGCTCAGATTTTTTTTTCCCTGGAGAATTAGGAGACAGCAGCCAGAGGAGAAATTGGTGGCTATGGAGCAGGGAAACACATCAGCCCTGCAGCTCCCATTTCCTGGGGAAGATGGCACTTCCCATCTCTATGGATTCCCACTGGATTCAGCTAAAACACAGACCCTCTGGCTCATCCATTCTTCTCCCTAGTTCAGCCAGAGCCATATTTTCTAGTTGCTGCCTCAAAATGAACAGCATTTACTACAGGGTGTCTCATCCCTCTTGGCATTTTGGTGCCAAAATGGTAGAAAGAACTGGGATCTATTCTTGGCTCATGTATCATCAACAACCATCCTCCCTGCACATTTTAGTTAATAACGAGCCAAAAATCATAGTAGGGAGTATGTGAAGGTCCAGATAAAGACACTTAGAGGGGAATAATGAAGAATTTCCTGTGATTTGCTGTCTACCAGCATCAGGCACTGGAAAATAGACCCATTTGGGCTCATTTCTGTTGGTGTGACGTGAGCAGCAGGGACAGGGGCTGGGCATCAGCACCTCTCAATTGCCTCATTTCTTTCCCTCTCACACTTCAATTTCCATGAGATCACAGATGTGTTAGAGGCTGGTGCCTATTTCTGCCTTGCTGGCACATAGAATCCAGCCTGGTGTGATGAGGAACAGGGGTAGGGATGGTGCAGAACTTCTGCCTGAAACAAACCTCCCAGGTCCAGTGCCTAGAGGACTCACAGGGCTCCCAAGTGAAAGGTTTTTCAAGGACAAGAACAGGAGCTGGCTTGATTATCAGGAAGGATTTTGTCCACAGTGACCTTTATCAATTGTGTTATGCTTCCTATGGCTGTTTGGTTTCCAAGAGGAGCTGGATTTTAAATTAAATGAGTAGAGCCCCAACGATTTCCAGGAAATGGAACCTTAGAGCTGCTCCTGCTCCTTCAATCACACTGTGCATTCTGGTAGTAGTCCAGGGAATAATAAAGGCAGCCTGCAACGTAATCTGCAGTCTTTGTAATGAATTTCTCCTTGCCTTGGAGCAACAGTTGCTGATGGAAACAGCACATAGCCCTTGCTGGGCCTGAATCCTTTGGGAAATGAAATGAGCACTGGCTTTGTTTCTAATGCAGTTCACCCAGATTTGAGTAAGTCCTTACCTGTTGCTGCACAGTCACAGAAAGGAAATATCCTGGGCAGATTTCTGAGCCCACATCTGTGACCTAATGCCAAGCACAAGCCACTGCTCTGGGCTGTGTGGGTGGGCTGAGAAAAATGAATATATCACTGGTCATCTGCCTGGACAGGATGGGTCACCTCAATAAATCACTGCTCTGGGCTCACCAGAAAACAGCAGCTCCCTCCTGCCCTGGGCAAAGGCAGAAGGAGCACGGCCAAGCCATTGATTTTTATGTGACATCATTTCAAATTTCCTGACAATTGGGAGGAAGGGAAGCCCTGCCAAGGTTATCAGAGCAGACAGGTGGGAAGGGTTTGTTTGTGGAGGGGTGCTGAGGTCCAGGACAAGCCTGGTGGCCTGTGGCTGTGAATGCCTGGTCCATGCTGCAAACCAAGGGCCAAGGGAAACCACAGATTCAGCCATGGATCTGGAGCAGTGGGAGAGGCAGAGCAGAATGTAAAGGAGAAGGAATGAAGCCAGTGAAAGGGGAGTAGGAAACCCTCTAAGTGAGCAATGGATGTACAAAAAACTTCAGGGACCTGGGTAGGAGCAATCAAATGCTGGAGAGAGTGAGATGTGAATGAGCTGAACTGAAAGGACCAGATCCCACTAAGCTGCAACAAGAAATTGGGCTGGCTAAAAATAAAGGGCCTTCTAGCAGTGTGATCCCTTCCTCAGGACACAACGCAGGCCATGATATGTGGAAAAAAAAAAATAGGTCAAGGAGAGCAGCTCTTTTAGAGCAAAACTTCTCAGAGCTAGCAGTGCTTAGGCAGGCAGGACTGTGCCCAGGCCACCACTGCACTGTCACCACAGCACACCTACTTCAGACAGCACAGCTCACCCTGGCTCCCTCAGGGGTAAAGCCAGAAAAGGCTGATTTGGTCATTAATAACCCTGGTGCAATGGAATGATCCCCCTGAGCTCATGGAGCACCCAAAGGGTGCAAATTCTTCAGCCCCAAAACAGGGTGTGCAGGATGCAGCCTGAGGGGAGCTGAACTGGAGCTCTTTGGGTTGGCAGAGAAGGTTGGACCAGTGTGAGGAGCACATAGGGAGCTGACTTCAACCACAGCTGAGGAGAGGAAGAGGAGGAGATGGTGAGGGCAGCACCCACGGCTCCATCTGGGATCGCAGGAGAAGCAGCTCCACAAACCTGACCTGGAAAACTGGGCAGCTGAGAAAGAAATTCTGGTTTTGGAATTACTGCTTGGGAAGAAACAGCCACTGCTGAAGCTTGGAAAAGGTGTGCTGCAGGCAGGAGAGGAGCACAGGGCTGCTCTGGCTCCACAGAACAGCTGAAGAGAGCAGAGATGGCTGCAGAGAAAAGCAGTGTCTCCTGCTTTTCATTGAGAAGGAAATTTCCAGGGAGGATATGGGTTGGAGCTGGTCCACAGGGTTCCAGGTGCCCTGTCCTAGGCTGTTGGCACCCACCAGCTCCCCTGGCACACATGCAGACTGAAATACATCAGGCAGCTTTAAGAGCTGCATTAGTGTCACACAGAAATGTCAGCTTGATTTCTGAGACAGAAAACACGTATTGGAAATTTAAGTGCAGAAATAAATCTTTTTGATGTGGAGGAGGTTCAGCCTGATATTAAGAAATAAAACAGCCCATCTCATGGCAGTTTGAACAAGGGCTTGTAACTGTGACTATGAGCAAACAAACTTCAAAAGGATCAATACTGGGCTTGAAAGCTTCCCCTCAGCTGGGAGCAGCAGCACGGCGCTGCCATTACCGACGCACAGACACGGCTGCGCTGGATCAATGGGCACACAGGCTCCCCAGGGAGGCTTTAAAAATAAATAAATGAATAAAAAGAAGGCTGGGTATGAGTTATTTAATCCCAGATTGAGCCACAGCAATAACAAACCTATTAATTTTGTGCTTGTCATCACACACCAGGAGCGCCTGATAAATAATCCGTAAGAAACCACATGTGAGCTCACACACTGCAAGGCTCACCACTAACTGATTTTGGTAATGAGATTACTTGGGATTTTCTCTCTTAAACTTGACTTACATAATTTTTTCTGAGAAGTTGTCTTTTCCTTAGCACTTCCTGTGCTTCATTTCTTGCCAGAGTTATTTTTTGCAGTTTGGTGAAAAAAATCCTGCCATGGCAGTGCAAGAGCGATGGAAATGCTGTATAGAAAGCACCAAAACTTGAATCTCTAAGGCTGACCCACTTCCCTCTCCTTCTTTATCTCACACCAGCCTTTTTGCTGTGGACTGCTCAAAACCTGCCCTTTTGCCTGGGTCAGGTTTGCAGGGGGTAACTCAGCCCCCTCAGCTCCAGCACCAAATATATGGAGATCAAATTATATTCCCAAAGTCAAAGGAGAAGTTACTAAGATTTATTTCCCACCCCAGCCCTCAAAGCAGACCAATTCCCAAACTGGCCATGTCTGCCACGCTGCTGCACTCGCTGGAGTGATGGCACTGCTCCAGCTCTTTCACACTAATGGCTTGGGATGAACCCAGCACTTACAGCAAATAAAATCATCCACCAAGCAGCCCCCATGGTCCTGGTTCAGAGGCTGCGGGCACAGCCCGTGTGTGTGCAGCCAGTCTCATTCACATGGTCCTTCTGGATCCACAGATATCCCCCACAAAACTTTTATGGAGCCCATCCCACCCACGCGTCTCCTTTTCCCTCGGTGTTTCAGGCTCTTACCTCTGTTCACCCCAGCTGAAGGGATGCTTTGGCAAATGGAGAACCTGTGATGGGGCTGAAGGTGGGAAGAGCAGTTCTGGCAGATCAGCTGCAAGGATGAGGGTCCTCACTGGAGGCTTCAGCTGCTGGATGGTCTGGGAGGAGCTGGGAGTGGGATGGCTTTGGAAACAGGCAGGAGCTGAAGGGAGGGCACAGCCTCAGCTCTCCCCCTCTGACTGAGCCACAGGAGGCTTGCAGGGTGCTGGGACACAGGGACAGGCAGATGGCAGGCAGGTCTCTGCATCCACGTGCTGGCAGCTCCTGCCCTGGGGTGTTGTAGAAAAGCATTACACAAAGTGCATTTCTCGAGAGGGAAACAGGAGCTAAAGCTCTGAGCCTGCAATATTGCCCACACACCCAGGTCCAGCTCTCCAGGCCTAACCTAAATCTATCTGTTCAAAGTTTACATCCCTAACAATAGCTGAGCCCTGCCCTTTGCAGAGCTCTTCCCAAAGCCCTCTCTCCCTACCAAATCTGACACAGAATTCTCCTACTCACAGTGTGTCAGAACGCTCACAGTCAGGGACCTGAGCCCAACTGCGGATTTCAATACCCCACAAAAAGCTACAAAAGCAGAATGAAAGAGGGAAATATCTAACGCTGCAAAGCAAAGCAGCTGGGGACTGTGCTGGAGGAGCTGCAGAAGCCTCGCTGCCATGGGAGCAGTGCCTGCCCATTAACCTCTGCCTGAGGTGCAGTGTGGCTCCTATTTAGATCCCAAAGACAGGAGCTGCAGTACCCCAACGATCCAGTGCCCCTGTTCAGGCTGCAGCCCCTGCTGCCCTCTGCTCGCCTCGGCTGGCACAGGGACAGAGCCAGGGACCAGGGGGAGCAGCTGGCTCAGCCCTGCACATCCACTCGCTCCTCCAGCACCAAGCTTGGGCTGCCCTGGTGGGCTATTAAAGCTTTAACAGCCGGTCCTTGTTCACTTCCAAGTATCATTTGAGTTGGCACAAAGTCCTATAAGAGCCTTGTAGATTAAAAACGGAAGAACAGTCCTCTTCCTTGCAGCTTTTCAAGGTTCCTGTGTCCTTCCAGCAGCAAGGCAGGTTACGATGGAAGTACTCAAGCACCTCAAATATTGATGTTTTAAACTGAAGTGGGTGTGAGCAGAGCCCCCAAATTCAGTGTAAGCACTTCAAGGGCTGTCCATGAAATGTCTCTGAGCTATAAACACTCACTGCTGTGGAAGGTGTAAGAAAAGCCCCAGGTACAGCCCGAGATTGGGAGCTGAGGCTGCTCAGCAGAGAGGGGCCGACACCCCCAGTTCCTTCTTTTCCCCTTAACGATCACTGCATGACAGCTTGAGCTAAATTAAGCTTGCTGGGAGGTAAAAATAGCATCAAGGGCTAATTAAAGCTCTTGCACTCCCTGTGTCGGTGGGTACCTGAGCTGGGGAGGCAGGAAGCCACAGCTCTTCCCCCACTCCCGCTCTTCTCAGCAGTGCTGGCAGCTGGAGGGGTTTTATGAACAATTTCAGAGTGATAAATGAGAGAAAGGCAGCAATCCCCCCAGGGCCCTGGGCTCTCTGAGGGCTGCAGACAAGTGGCACGTTGGGCAGGCAGCACGTGCTGCCCTCGCTGCAGGGACCCGCGTCCCTTCGGCGTGGTTAGAGATGATGGATGGAGGGAGCAGTGCCTCGTTAGCCAGGAGCCTGCATTCCCTCTTCCCTGCTTAGAAACAGCTTCACTGCAAAGCCTCTGAGCAGCGAAATGATGGCATGAAGTGCACAAGGGCTGTGTCAGCCACACCTCTGGCAAAAGACTTCAGAACCTGGTGACACTAAACCCAGTGACCAAGGCCAGCAGCTGCTCCACCTGGCTTTGCCCCAGCCCTGTGGGACACAGCTCCTTGGAAGCTGGTGGTGATGTCTTCATGCACAACTCCCAGGTCTGACACTGAGCAGCCACCAAAGTTTGGTCCCATTTTCACATAAGAGAAGTCTTTTCTTTATGCAGCGTGTGGGGTTTAATAATCAGAAACATGAATGTACATAAGTATTTATACACCACTGGAGGTACTAAACTTTCTACCACCCAGATTTTAGCAAGATTTGTTAGTTCCAGTATTTAACAGGGCGGACAAGGCAGGAAAAGCCATGCATGAGGTGGAGCAGCCTGAGAAGAGGCCATGGGCTCACCTGTCCTGCTCAGCACAGGGAGGTGCAGCCACATCCTGGCCAAGGCTGTGGGAACAGGCAGGGAATGGACTTGGTCTTGCCCTTCTCCATCCTTCCCCCAGGCCAGCACTTCTGCCCAGGTGCAACCTGGCCTGGCTGTGTGTGCCTGGTCTCTGTGCTCCTGTCCTGCTCCCTTTGTACCCACCCAGCAGCACCTCTCCTGCCACCTACACCCGACCTGATATTCCCAGCCGGAGCTGCTGCAGGGAAAAGGAACATCTGTCCATTCTGTGTCTGTGGGAAGGAGCCAGGGCCACCTGTGGGGATTTGGGGCAGGTCCTGCCCTGGCAGACCTGAGCCTCTGCTCCCTGGGGATGGGGATGTCGTCAGGAAGCACAGGTTGGGCACTGGGTGGGGAAATGAATTATGCACAACTTGTCCTGGGTCAGTGGATGCAGCTGCTGTGCTGCTCCAATAACGCCCTCAGTGCAGCCTTGACACGGCTCTAACAGGGGTTTTCACTGATAAGCAATATCTCTCTCATTAATAAAAGAAAAACTGTAATTCCTGTCTTCCTAAAAGACTGCACGCAAACTCCACTCATCTGTGACAGCCCATGATGAGCCATTTTCTGAGCCTGATGAAGGCATGTGTGTTGTCCTTGCACAAACTCCATTTTGCCAGTAAATATTTTACTACAAATATCAGAAGTTGTGGCTCTACAGCTTTAAAAGTCAGTGTGACTTTGACACCAAACCATCTTTCTAGGACACACCTAGAACCCAAACTTTTTATTTCAGTAAGATTAAGATCCCCACATAACTAGATGATGGGGTCTAGGTCAAAAGTGATTTTTAAATCGCCATGTTAAACCCAGGGGTTTAAAACCCAGGGGTTTAAATCTTCCCAGCTGATTTAGGAAAAGCTCCTGGTGCTCACTCCAGCCTCACAGCACACAGCTCACTGATACCACTGAAATCTCTGCAGGCTTGTGCATTATTTCTCTTTTGTATTTTATATTCCCTCCCCTCTCCATAAATAAAGCTGAAGCTGCAAAAGCTGTGCTATGGATGCTGCCAGGTGGAAATTCATTCAGCTCAATGAATATATTCAACAGCTACAAGAATACAGCAAGGAATCAGAGAAACCCCCACGCAGAGGCATTTCTGTCCCCTGGATGTCACTTGGGGCAGCCCGGGGACAAGGTGTGATGGCACAGGATGGGCTGCTGGGAGCCACTCTCCTGCCCTTGGGCTTTTTAGGTGGGTCCTGACATGACAGACTGAAATGTGCTGCTCAAACAGTGGCAGGGGAGCCTGTGAAAGGAGCCCAGACACGAAGCACTTGTGAAGCCAAAGGGCAGCAGTGATGGAGACACGGGAACTCTCCTCCAGCAAAGCTGCCAGTCTGGGTCATGCCACAGCACTCACTCTGCTGCAGGAAACTCAGCAGAAATTCTCTTCTTCAGCTGAAACAGTCTTTAGCAGTGCTCTGGCTGAAGCTGTGCTATCTTCAGGGAATGCAACACCCTCGCTGCCCTTTCCAAAGGCTCGCCTGTACCGTGCAGGCACCCGCCAGCTCCGACCAGGCCTCCTCTGCCCCAGGGGGATTTGGGGATACAGGGATACAGTGGTGACATTGGTGACAGCGGTGCCGGGGTCAGACCTGCTCCCCGGGCACCCCTGAGGAGTTCCTGCAGCTCCGTGCCTGGAAGCCCAGCCCTGAGAGCTGCAGAAAGCATCCCGCGCCAGGGGCTGCTGAAGTTCTACCAACACCCGGCAATTAACCCGGAGCCAAAGGCCGTGCCAGAGCCGCCCTGCTCACCACCACATCTCACATCTCACAGCATCGCACATCATCTCACCACCTTCCCCGGGCTGTGGATAAGGAGCTCGTGCAGCGAGGCCAGGCTCCACGTCCCCGCTCCCCGTTCTTATGGTAACACACGATCCAGCCCTTCCCCTCACCCCGGCCCTTCTCTTAAGAAGCAGGTCAGGCTTTTCTCAGATCGCCTGGCTCAATTCTCACTCCCCTCTCCGAGGGGTTTGCCACACTGCAAAACATTCACAGCCTGACTTCCCGCAGGTTTCATATTCCCTGGGAAGGATGCACATCCGCTCCTCAGCAGCACGCTCCGGACTGGCGGCCGAGGACGGGGATGCTCCCGGCGCGGGGACGCGGCTCTGTGCGGGGAAAGCCCAGGGACGGGGATCTCGGGGAAGGAGCGCCGGGATTCTCCGGCTTCCTCGCGCTCAGGTCCTTCCCTTGGGAACCGGGGAAGTCAAACGAGCGGTGCCAGCCCCGGGGCAGGGCACCGGGGCACCTCACCCGGGCAGCCCCGGGGCTCCGGCCGCGCCCGCCGGGGCTCGCCGCGCTCGGGGCCGCGCCGGGATGCGGCGGATGCTGCCCGGGGCGGTGCCCGCGCCGCTCCCCGGCCGGCTCCCACTCCCAGGGGAATACGGAAAGCACAGGGATACCTGCCCTGAGCCCTGCGGCTCCGCACCGCATCCCTCTTCCCTCGCCGTTAAACTTTCAGGGCTTTACACCCATTTCGGAGCTCCCACGAAGCCGCCTCCTGGACCGTTCCCCCCCGCTCCCGGGGCAGCCCGGCCCGGAGATGGGCAGGAGCCGCAGCTTTTCCCCTCCCCACGCCAGTCCCGGCACTCACCGGCCCCGCGGGAGCGGCTCCGCGGCGGGACGCGGCGGCGGCCCCGGGGATGCTCCGCTCCGCTCCGCGCCGCGCCGGGAGAGCCCGGGGAGGAGAGGGCATCACATGGCGCCGGCGGGGCCAGCCCACCTCTCCCTCCCCTCCATGCCCCCGTTCCCTCCCTCCTTTCATCCCTCCTTCCCTTTCTCCATCCTCCCCTTCCTCCCTCCCCCTCCCCTCCCTCCTTCTCCATCCACCCTTTCTTCCTCTCTACCCCCCATTCCCCGCTCACTTCCCTCTATCCCCCTTTCCCCATTCCTGCCTCTCCTTTCCCTGGATTTCCCCACTTTCCCTCTATTCTCCGCGTTTTTCCTCCTTTCCCTTCTCCTGCTTCCACCCCTGCGCTGTTACGGGCACTGGGGCAGGGGTGGGATCCAGCCCTGCTCCTGCCCCTCTGTGCCTCCCCCCTTCCCCGCACCCCACACCTGCAAAAACTCCGCTCCGAGCGCTGGGGGCTGCTCTCCCCGGGACGCGGCTCCTTTGGGACCGGGGAAGGGGCAGCTGGCTCAGCAGTGTGGAAAGCACGGCTGAGGACACGGAGACAGCGCGGAGGGCTGGGGGCAGCAATTCCAGCGTGCTGCGGAGCCAGCTTGGCAGGGCTGCCACCGAGGCAGGAGAGAGCCAGGGCTAAAGGAGACAGGGACACAGGGGCAGATGCTGTGGGCTCTGGAAAACCCTGCCAGGCTGGGTGATTCAGCCAAAACACATCGACCATGACAGGCAGAGCCAAGAAGAATGAAGCAGCTCCATGGAAGTGTCCAGCAATGGGATGCTTCCTTGGATAGAGCAGGAAGGACAAGAAAAGGATCACACACCATGCAGGAACTCTGCTGCAGGAGGAGCAGGGCCCAGGGAGCTCATGGATCCCATCCCAGCACCTGGAGCTCGGGACTGTATGGAAATTTCTGCAGGGACAGCTCATCCTCTGCAGGGGCTTTGCTCACACACCACAGTCCCCAGCTCCTGGCTAAAACGTGCTGCATCTTTGCCGAGGCGTCCCCAGCTAGAAAAACACCAATGCTTTAAATAGAAAAACTGAAAATAAAGTGAGATCTGAGATGCGGAGGAGGTGTTGTTGGGTGGCTTGTTTGGAATCAATGGAGCCGTGTGCTCAGGCTTGGTGAGCTCTGCTTGATTTACAGAAAGAGCAGAAGCTGATGCAGATGTGGAGGTTTGGATTTCTTCAACCAGAACATGGTGGAGACCAAAATAGGCAAGTTCCAGATCCAGACTGGTAGAAAACTGCCTCCCAGTAAGAGGTTTCTGGTTATTTATACTTATAAAACTCATACCATAACTTATATAACTTAAATAATAAGTTCTTTCATACAAAGTTACAGCAATACTTAAATTATAGTGAATTCAGCATGTTTTCCTGGGCTCTTATTCCCATTTGAGGAACAATTTAAAGCAGCAAATCCCTTGGGGGTTTGACAGGAAGGACAAAGCAGGGATTTGGTCAGCAGAATAGATTCTGCACTGGAAAAGGCAGCCAGTGGGGCGATACCCTCTGGGGATCCCAGGAGAAAGAAGTTCCCTGGGATGGAGATCATGAGCAGGGAATTGCCAGTGCAATCACAAATCTACAGGAGGCTTGTTAGAGCTGGATGTTCCCCATGTGCTATCAGGGTAGATGATTTTATCACAGTAATTGGCTGTTCATCGTTCTTCTTTTCTCTGTATCATTAAAAAGAAACCCAAACAAAGCAGACCTTCATTTTTCTTGACAGACAACCTGCTCTGCTGCTGCCTGGGCTCTGGGCAGGATCATTGGAGTGCAGCACAAATAAAGCTGCAGCTCACACAGTGACATAATTAACCACACAGTGTGAGAGGCCCCCAGCAGCCATGCATATAATCAATTAGAAATACACATTTGGAGCTTCAGCTTCTCCCCCTCCCCTTTGCTTCCATGCAGATGTAGCTGCACTGAAGCCCTGGGGTGGATTTGCTGCTGCTGCTGCTTGTCCCACACAGCAGCTGCTGCCCTGGCAAAGCCCGTGCTCAACGCCAGCACTCACACCAGGAGTGTTTCCCACAGGCATCCAGGGCCAGGATCAAAGAGAGCTCCAGCGATGCCTCCCAAAAGCCCAGCAGCACTGCTGAACTCTCCCACCTCATTAGCAGCTCTCCAGAATTCCTCCCCATGACATGTTCTTCCCTGATGATGGGAAAACCAGAGAAGTGGAAAATCCTTCTCTTGGACAGAAGCTTGTCCCACACAGGACAATCAGCACTTTGCATCTTCTCAGCATCCCCCCAAGCCTTGGGGCAGGACTTTGCCAAGTGCTGCAATAGCTGTTTTAGTTTATTGTTTCACATAACACCAGCTGGCAGCATCATTTTTCCCTTCCCCACTTTTCACTGCTCATTCTGGCTATTTCCTCCTGTGGATCCTCCTCCACAGCTACACGTGGGGCAAGTGAAGCTGGCTGGGACCTTGCCCAGGTCAGGATGTTCCACAGCTGTGCCAGACTCTGCAGGGCTGGGCTCTGCCCCAGCCACAGCAGCTCTGCCAGCCCTTGGCCACTGCAGCACCTTTTGTACCACTCTTTAATCAGTGTGGAAGCTTGAAGCTCCATGGACACCTCAGCAGCAGCTTTTAGGATGCTCCCAAGGTCAAACCTTATTACTGAGGAGGGATTTGAGCTTCATTAGTGGCTCGGAACAGAAGTGATTCATTCCAGCAGCTCTCCCTGGGCTGGCAGCAGCGCACTGGGGGTGGTGGGCACGTCTCATTTCAGCTACAGGAGCTTGATGCTGACAGGTGACATCTGCAGGGACGCTTTTCCCTGGTCTTTTCCCTATCAACAGAAGCTGCCTTGAAGGCACTCAGGTTATTATGAAATAAAAGGTCTGGTTCTGTCAGCTTGGGCCACCAGCTGCTATGAAACCTCAGGTTTGACTCCCCTCCTATTGCCTCAAATTTGTTCTGTGCTGAATTATTTGGACAGCAAATCCACCCAGCAAAGGGCAGCCACCCCTGAGCCCAGCCATGGCTCTGCTCTGATGTCAGACAACAGCCTACTGAGCAATTTTACCTGCACACCAGGCTGGGAGAAGCATTTTGGGCACAGGGAGGGGAGGCCAGCCTCAGCCAGCGGTTCCAGTGCTTGCCCGAGCAGGTGAGTGCAACAGGCTGGGGTGCTGGAGCTGCTGTGACTGGTGTGGGAGGTGAAGGATGCTCTGTGCCAGCTGTTCAGCTCTTGCTGTTTGTGTCATTTGGTGGCAGCAGGGCCGGGGGGAGGCTCGGGAGGCAGCGGGGCAGAGGCAGAGCAGCCCCAGCACCACGGCCAGGGAACGCACAGGGCAGCTCCCACAGCCTGGGAACCACTTGCTGAGGGAGACTTCAGGGACTTTTGTCTCTCGTGGATGGTGTTTGTGGGGTGTTTCACACTGGGCAGCAAAACTGGCAGCGGCAGCTTGGCTTTGGGATGCAGAGCTGCAGCACTCTGCACTGTGCAGGTGGGATGGGCTGCTGCAGGTGTGGAAGGAGCTCAGCACAACTTCTGCTCCTTACCCCAGCAGCCTTGTGGCTTTATTTTTCAAACACTGAAAACAGGGAAAGACGTAGAACTCCCAGCACCAAAGAACACCAGCCCTTCCCCTCTCTCTGGGAGGGTTTTCACATCCCGCTTGCACCATGACTAAATTAAAGGAATTAACTCCGTGGGCTGTTGGAGCTGCAGCTCCATTTGCCGTTTCCCCTGCACATCCCTCTGCCTGGATCCGCTGCTTGGGAGGAAGCTCAAGGAGAGGTGCCACATTATTTTTAACCCAGCACCCACATGCTGTGTGAAAGCCTGAAAAAAAATAAATGTGTGGAGCCTTTCGCAGCCTCCCCGAGCAGCTCTGACTCACAAAACAACAAAGGCACACGTGTGAATGGAAGTTAGAGATTTTATTTAAAATAAAATACCCTCTGCCATCATCTGGGGCTAAACTGAGCTGATAAAAGAGGAGGATGTGCCAGTTCAGGAGTTTTCCAGGTGCAGCCTTCAGCCCCGTGGTGCTCCAGGGCTGGCAGGCACCAGCACCCCGGGGCTGCCCGGGGATCTGAGCATCCCCACACCGGGGAAAGGAGCAGGAACGAGCAGGGAGTGCCCACACCTCCCCCTTTCACCTGCAGGGCAGTCCCTACAACGAGACACGCTGGAATGATGCTGGCAGTGCTTTTTTTAATCACTGCTGGTGTTTTCTGTCATCCTGCTGCACAAGGAGTGGAGATCCCACCAGCACAGGCTCCCTCTGGGAGCTGCTCCTGGACCTGGGGCCATCCAGGCTCCCCAGCACAGCCCCACTGCAGCTGCCAGGCTGGCTGGAAAGCAGCTGCCTGCAGGATGAGGGATGGCTCTGGCCACAGCAATCTGATTTCAAAGGTCATGTTTTGGAAAGAAGTTTAGATGACATTAATTATTAAAGCCTCGTAACGCTTGTATTAAAGGTAATAGTTTTCCGTGTGATTTATATAGCACTGAAATTCATTACCAAGCTTTTAATGATGTTAGTGTCAATCAGGCACAAGAATGCTAAATGACTTATCCCAAAAGTACCAGGAGCTGATCCAAGGGGTTTTGGGTTGCTCTCACTGCTGGCCTTTCCTTCCTTCTGTCCTTGCTGGTTGCTTTCATAGCTGTTTCTGGTGGATTTTCCCTGAAATCACACCTCATCAGTGTCCCAGACACAGCTACACTTGAAGGAGGAGCAAATGCATCCTGTTAAAAGAATGTTTTTCTGGAGGTGTCCCTGGAAATGTTGAAGCTTTAATGAGGTTTTAAATAAATTGTTGCAGAGTGTTTTATATGGATTAGGAAGTCTCCCTGTTTTGGGCACTGGGTTTTATGAAGTGTTCTGAATAGAGGAGCAAGGTAAGGGGGGATGGATCATGGCCCAAATAGGAAAAATAGAGAAGATAGGAACAGATGTGGACCAAACTCCCTCTCTCTCAGACACACACACAAAATTCATTCCCAAATTCATTCCCAGCATGTAAACATACATGTGATTTTTGGCACCCTTGGTGGGCAAGAGTAAGATCTAAAGTATTTCTAAGCAAACTTCCACTGTGGGGTTGT